TCAATATTATATACATGCATAATAAGTTTCATCAAGATGGGATCAAAATTGTAGTCTTTGTCGTGCATACAAGGCAAATTTAACGCATTTGTACTAAGTCAAGGGCAATAACTCTGAAACCGTTCATCCGATTATTACAAATTTTGAACTTGACTGAGGTCTCATCAATAATATATATACATGCATACCAAGTTTCATCAAGATCAGGTAAACGCTAAAGTCTCTATCGTGCATACAAGAAATGTGGACGGACGGACGGACTGGGGCGATGGAAATATATATCTACATTTACATGTGGGCGTATAAAATGGTTTATTGTATTAGCATCAAATTCAAACATGAACAAGGACCCAACAACACACATGTCCAATAAGATCGTATTATTGATGCTTTAATCATATTGTAAACCAAAATGAGAAGTATTTCTTCAAGGTCAATAACTCAAAACTAAATTATGGCAATTATCAAACTTGACCAATATCTTGCTAATATATACTTTCACACCAGGTTGTATCTAGTTTACATAAAATGTTGCATCCATCGTTACAATAATCAGGTTATTACCAACTTATACTTTGACTTTGACTTCAGTCGCAAAGGCAAGGACACTAACTCACATCCGATTGTTACTTATTTTGAACTTTACCAAAATCTCATCAATTCTAGATGCACACGAATTGATTATTTTGTTTAAACGAATTAATTATTTTGTTTAAACGAATTAATTATTTGTAAATGAAATCATGATGGATTGATTTAAATATTAGTAATGAGTTTATTTTTTAAAAAAAATCGGTCTTTTTTATTTCAACATGGAATCATTCGCATTAAAACTGAATCGCATGTTTATCTGTGATTTTCAGTTCCATCGTTCACTGGTAATGACTTATCAATCCTGTTCATATAGAAAACGTTAGTTCAAATCTCAACAAAACGAAATGGCTCAACCCATCAGTCAAAAGAGACATCGTGAACATCAAAATTCATTATTTAAGAATCCGTGTGATTAAAAACACAGAATAGACGAATATTGTACGTGCCAGACTTGAGATTTCCATTGAGATATGAACTGATCAGACTGTCGAGAGGATCGATAGAATTGGTGATGTCTGTCACCTCTATCTTGACACCAAACCAGATTCCTTGGTTATTTCTAACTAAGTAATCCTTTTTCGTGATCTAGTTTACAACTCTCAAAATACAAACGTGTACAATTATGTCACTTGCGTAGCATCGAAAAGTTCAAATCCCATTGATACAAACCTTACTTTCTGACAATCGAGAGAAGACATTCAGTAACTTAATAGTATTAGGAAAGTAGGTTTTATCATTTTATGGCACACAAGCAAAGTTGGGTTATTATCTATAAAGTACTTTAAAAGTATTTATCATCCGATATTTGATTCTCTCCAGCAACGAATTTAATTTTCCTGGGCTTAGATATGCGTTTAATTAAAGAGGAGGACAAGATGAATAACCAAAATATGTCCGACAAAGAAATATTCATGAAAGTAAAGAATGTAGAGACAATCCCTATTGTCATGTATCTATGATTAAATATCTAAGAAAAGGTTGATGGCGCTGACAAATGATACATTTGTAAAATGACTCTGGAAGATAGAAGGAATGAATATTGTTCATTTCTAGTTCAGCCAAGAAACAAAAGAGTAAATGTCATAGATATTTTCATCTGCATGAGATTACGCTCGGTTTCGTTTCTTGTGAATAAATTGAGGTTATATTCTGGAGACTTCCTTGATCTGTTGTAGCACTTTTTCTAGTCTTTTTAAGCCTGCTTATCCATCGGATTGATTTCTTCGAGAAGCTGATCCAGTCTTATTGACAATCCACATTTGTTTTTTTTCATCGCAGATTATGTCAGATTGGATTTTCTTAGTCATCTGGACTATCGTACCCATCAAACCAGACTGCGCTTGTCTCCATAGCCGATCTATAGAATCTATAAGTATGACCCAGCCATTGAGATATTGATTGTTTTCTGGTCTAGAACTGGGCTACTGGGGTTGAGGTTTCTATCCAGATCCCCCTTTATTGCTCATCATGAACTCCACAGTCCATAAACTTTCTGCCAATGGTAAGACCATGCTCAAGTAAAATTTCATTGAAAGTTTCAATTTAGTTATTTAACTAAATATGAAATAAATGTCACTGTTAATTTTCGTATTTATACTACACGTAGGTGTGACAAGTGTCTAGATTTATGTATTGTATTACTATATATATAAATAAGTGAATGAAATGAATTAAGACAAATATGATTCAATACTCTTTATATGATTATTGCCTTCCTGTACTTCAATACATTTCATATAATTATTATCCAAATAAAGCCTGAAAGCAAACAGCTTATTACTTTAAAAGCAACCGCGAAAAATAATTCTCTTTACATGATTATATTTCGTCAGACTGTTGTTTTTGTAAAGGTTTTGAACCAGGAACATACATCAGTCATACATATTAGTGGTTTATAAATTGTTACTAACTCATTTTGAATTGCATCCATTCGTATAAAACGTTTACATTAAGATTGAATTCAATTTATTTACAAATAAAAAAATTCATTGAAGTCGTAAGCATCACTTCTTTAATCAGTTTGGTTCAATTTAACATCGTGTGTTATTTGCGATTTTATCAATCAAAATATGAATGATATGGAGAATAATTTTCCCCTGTATGCCGTTTCATATTACCTATATATATATCATTATTTCTAGTATTGAACTCAAATCTTTAATATATATCAGAGAATAGATGTGTAAAATTATATACTTGTCTTTGTCATTGTTTTATCGCATTTGTATGGTTTTAGGAAAGTAAAAAAATAAGTTCGCTTCAAAGTCGTTATCAAATCAAAGGCTTTAACCAAAAGATCACTCCACAAAAGCATACCCAGGTTCATCGTGTTTAGGTGAACTTTTTATAAGCAAACATTTTCTTTGAAGACCAGATATCATTGTTCTACGAGTCCATTCATGGTTCAAAACAGATGTAACTTCGTACAAACGTAAAAAGATAATATACGTCCACCTTTTCTCGCGCGTATTTAAAATTAATGAAAGCAAGCTTGAAGGAACGGTTTTGTCGCTTCTCAAAAGTAATTATTCTTAACAAAATCTTATGTGTGACGAATGCTTATATTGGAATTCACAATCAGAAAAAGCGAAGCCGATACTTTCAAACTGTCTATTCCGGATAAAGAAAGTTAATTGAGATATAATGTAATAGATTGTATTTATTAGTTGGACATGGTTTACGTTGTGTGTAGAATAAGGTTAATGAATACGAAGATTGTCCGGAGACCTTCAGTAAGTGCTAGGAATAATATTAATTCGCTTTAGAAGGAAGTTTATAAACATGTCTTAGAATGGTGATAAATACTGAAAACTGCCTTTAAAAGAACATACTTTACAGTATTCGACGATCAATGAAAATCAATTTAAGATGTTCAAAGATTCAACGTGGCAATAAATGATTGTAAAATGGTGTCAATGGTTAGTGTATGTTGATTGTTTCAATTGAAAATTGTTGAATAGAGAAATTGGGTTATTTTAATGTGAGCGTAAATCAGTGTTACTACAACATCCTCCAGATGATTGATATTCTCTTCTGGGAATTCTACATATGATAGATAATTGGATATTTTCTTTATATGACATCGATGTTTAATATGGTTAACTCATCACAATATTTATAATAAATAAATGTGATAACCTTATCACTTTTTACACCACTAGCAACATTGAAAACCCCATTATCTTAATTCTTCTGAGATATTTTTGTGGTGGTTAAATTGATTTAATGGTAGATATCAGCAAATAACTTATCGCATCAGCAAGTAACTTATCACATATTTAATGTAGTTCAATCTAAGTACTATTGTAAGATGGGACTCTTTTAATATTACAATCAAATATTAGTAAAGATTTTTCTTACAGTAAATTTGCGACCAAATGATCAAACCATACAATGTAAAGAATGTCAGAAACGTTATATAACTATAAAATATTTTTATAAACTATCCTCTGACTTTGAAATAATCTAAATAAGTAAAATAAATGCTGAAAGAACTAGTATGAAATATATGAAATATTTTAACATTTTAATGATCTAAATATATGTTGCCATAATATGGCATTATCATACCTAACAAGTCACACACACAGAAAACACATGTGTGGCAAACATTAATTTAATCAAATTTTATGATACCGGTACTCAATATTAACACTTTTTTTAAAAACTTTGGTTTGCTGGCTTTTGGTACAAATCACACTATGTGACCAACCTCACCCACCACTTCTCGTATTAACATCCGAAAATATAGAATTTCTGGATGCCAGTATGGTCCAAAAGAAGAGTTGGTTAATTGGGTTTAATTAAATTCAGTTTATTGATTCATTTACGTAAGTTAGTTTGCAGACTGGCAATTTTAACACCAATTGTTTTTTTTAATATAATTATAAAGAAAACGTTTAACCATTTGCTATGCCAGATGATACAGTTAAATTTCGGATATGCAAAACACGTTTCAGAATTAAAATCGGGCGTAAGGTTCAATAATCCAATGAAATATAAGTCTAACATTTCTGAATTATAGATGGCGTTGAATATCGAGTGCTCTCGGTGTCAATTATAGAATGATCTGTATTGGAAGTCAGTTGACTTGGGATGTTCACGTACAAAGTACATGTTAGAATATAGCCAATAAATGTAAGACGGTTAAATTATGAAACTCTAGCCATGATGTTATTAATTGTTCCTCGAAGGATTCAAATACAGAAACAACTTTTTTTTTCAATTAATTTAAATTTCGGTACCAACCAATCTTATAGTTAGTAAATCAGCTAAACCTCCACTGGCTTCGGTTTCATTAACATATATTCTCTATCCTGTGCGTCTGTGTGTTGAAGAGGGCGTCTCTCGGGTATGATCCACGAAGGTTTCCGACGAATACTCGATTGACGCTTTAACGTTGAACATATACTTTTAAACCCTTCTCGAAATTTTGAATTCATCCACCAGTATATCAAAGGATTATAAACACAACTACTCATTGCTAACCAGTGAGCTGCAGTCCAAACCCATCTCATATAAGGTGCGTCATAAAGTGTTGGTACTACGTCTTCTGTGATCGTGATAACATGCAAAGGTAACCAGCAAATTGCATAAATTCCAACTACTGTAATCATCATTTTAATTGCCTGAAACAGATAAATACAGATTTACAGATAAATTGCGACTGAGTACCACACTCAATAGTGAAAATGGCGGTGTAGCATACTTCACAATACAGTAACACAAACTCTATAAAGATGACACAACAGTGGTCCATCATCTTTTGAAGCAACTGGGTCTGTTGCATTGAATCCGATTAACTCAATTAATGTAAAGAATGGTATGTCTATAAACGATACCTTGTTTTGTGACTCACTTTATGAATATGAAATAGCGAGGACAAAAAGGAAGAAAGAAAAAATACAACAAGCTTTCAGAAATCGGGAATATATATAATAAAAGAATGAAAAATAATAATTATACTTTGTTTCCTATCAATTTTCGTAGTTATCGTTGTGGGGGCTAAAAGTCCATTTTAAAGTGCGGCGTTACACGCAAAGTCTGAATTTGTTCTGGAAAAAACTATAAATTTGTAGATCTGCACGCGGGTAAGTCAATTTGAAAGAATTTGTCAGAGAACATGTGTAACATACACCCATGGTAAGCACTTCTGTTTTTTTGTTCAAGGTAAAAAAGAAGGGGCCTGTTCTCGAATCATATAGATATCAATAAAGTAGTTATACTACGTGGATCACAAACATCTTCAGATTTTCAGGCAAACCAACGGATTTTTTTACAGGTTTTGACTAATCAAGACCAATAAAGTAGTCCTATGAGAAAAAGTGATATTAAAGCGACATCCCCACCTTTAACGAGTCAGGAAGAGGAATCAATAAAGCATATCCGGAGATAAAAACTGCAGCATACACAACCAATGGCGTGTTTCTTAAAAGTAAGAGTTGTTGTTTTGATAAATTGTTCTGCGACTTCTCTCATCACGTGTGATGTACTTCATCACCATATATATACAGATACTACCACGGTGTTGCATATTACATAACTTCCCAATTGCAATTTAGAATAGATTTCTTAGAATGATAAGGTCGGTAGTTCAGGTATTCAGCCACGTCTTATTGTTGCAATTTTCTCCTTAATTTCATAGAGTAGGCGGTTTTCTCATATAAACCAGTAACACATTTGTCTTAGAATGTATCATTACAAAACAAGAAAGATAGTGCCATTTTACATTCAATCTTTATTTTAACTTTAATGGAATTGTGAAACAATTAAATTTGGCCAATGTTTTGCATTAAGCGAAGAGTAGTGGATGGCATACGAGTAATAATGCACGCTTACAGTTATAAACAGACCGTCCCTCTAGATGTAGGTTATAAATAAACTTTCACTTTTGAGTGTTTACATTACCTTCTATTAATATGCAATGACAAAGAGTCACTGAATTAGAAACCGGTATTATTTTCTACCGAATTAAACAATCAATATTGACTTAATTAACTGCTATAAAAGTATTGCGATCGCCAGAAATCTATTATGTGATAATGGTCTACTGACATAAATTACACATATTAATTTCCTCATCTCACGCATACGTAGTTAACTGGGTGAATGAATTGCCTTTAAGGCAACCAAATTCAGATATCTTACTTCTTACTAGATGATTATATACTAAGTAACATAATGAATAAAAACAAAGAAAGTTTCATAAAACATATATACATTTATAATGTATCATGGATGTGATATGAAATATAAAAATGTAAACACTGTGTTTCTAAGATTATATGGTAGTATAAGTTATTATTTTAAGTAAAATGAAATGCTGGAAAAACCAAACGGAGGGTTTAACTGCTATTATAATAATTAATCATTATTGTCAATAAGATAAAACTTCCTCAGTTCTTGTATAAATGTACATGTATATGTTGAAAATTAGGTGGAACCTATTGAAAATTAGACGCTGCCAAAATAATTGTATTATTATTATTATATAAAGACGGATTATGTTGTGGTAATGAGTTCCAAAGTACAGAAGCAGTAAATGTTCCCATCATAGTAGTTTTATTACATTTTGGTATGTCTAAAGTGTTTCTGATCTCAGTGTAATACTGGTTTCCGTTAATTTTGATATTCCGTAAATTTATTGTTTAGTATGCCGAGAAGTCCGGTACTTTAAGAAGAGCTGAAAATATATGCCAGAAATAAGTTAAAAAATCCAAAAATATCATTGCTTTGCCTAAAATTTGTCCCATCAACATATTTATTTCATAATAAGTTTTTTTTTACGATTTATCCCAATATAAATAGTCTGAAAGAATGTTTTCCAGTCTCTAGGTGCGTGAACTAATAGCTTCTTCATAAACAACTTTCTCGTACATGTCTTTTGTTACTATAAGTTCTAGATTTGCAGAAACCAAGACGGGAAATATTATATCAGTCCAGTGATAATTAAATGTATAAGGGAATCTGATAAAGATACACAATCTTTAAGATTCAATTTCAGTCTAACATGTAGTAATTACTCATATCGGAAACATAATGATATACCTCATTGTTTACAAGACTCATAGAATACTTCACTTATAATTATCGTAGGGCATCTACAGTTGCTAATGAACACGTCGCTGTTTTTGAACTAGTATCAGTTATCTTGCGACTTTCGAATTATGTTTTTTTCCCTCTCTATGACTTATTTGATGGCCGCTTATATTGTGTCAAATGTACACAAAATCCATGAAAAGGTATCCTGTCTCGGAATTACTGACACGGATCATTATATTAATACATGGCATGGCATGGCAAATCTGTTATGAGTGTCCTAAATGTCCATGTATGTACTGCAGTCTGGATAAAAAGACTTTTTGACCTTTCTTGATCGATCACTCATTGGAATTCTGCTGGTAATTCTCTTCTAATATAGATAATTATGAATTAATTATGACGTATGAGACAAACTGGTATTTTCCAAGTCATTGAATCACATATACTTTCTATTCATATAAGTATTAGCATTTTCATTTTCATAAATCAAAATAAGGAAACCCATCTTTAAAAAAATAAAAGTAAGGTGAATGTGAATCAATAAATGTAACGAACAAAATAATGGTTTAATCATTATACATACCTTCTTGCGGGGATCTCCTTCGTGTGCATCATCCACACTGGGAACATCTTTTAACCATACAATATGTACAATACGAGAATAAGTATAGATCAAAACGACTAATGGTATAAAATATTGTAAAATCATTATAGTTATTGAATAGGAAAATCTCTGATTATTAGTCGGCCAAACTTCAGAACAATATTCAGATGTTGTATTGTCCATTGGATCTAAATAATGAACAACCCGTGATGTAATAACAGTTGGTAAGGGTGTCAGCCATGATAATATCCAGCATAAACAAATAACTAAAATAGATTTCCTTTTAGATAATCGAGGTAGGAAAGGGTAGATTATAGCAACATATCTTTCCAAACTTATAGCTAGCATTGTATAAGCACTCAAAAATACCACAACAGCTTGTATATATGTCAGCACGGGACAAAAAGCATATCCATAGGGCCATTCCACTAACAAATTCGCGACAAATGTAAACGGAATGCACACGATTGCCATAAGCATATCACTTAATGCCAAACTTGCTATAAAAAAGTTAGTAACAGTTCGCATGTGTCGTTTTGAAAACACAAGGAAGCAAACACATCCATTACCAATAATAGCCACAAGACAAATAATACTGTACAGAAATATCATAAAACTTTCTGTTACATTTAAATCACTCGTTTCGCTAAAGTTTGAATTACTTAATACGTTGATCTCAGCCATGGTTGTACTAAAATAAGCCAACCTTCTTACAAGATTTTATACCTTATGACCATCGATCGATAAACAGGGAATCACCGCTTAGCCATTCAACTACTCTAAACGTATTCCGAATAACCATCCAATAAATAAACATCTTACTACATTATAAAATATAGAGTTTCTGATTTGAACATAGTATTGTTGTTTCAAGTGATCCTTATCAAAAATGAACAGTGCAGCCGATGATCCAATATAATTATCGTGGTAGAACACCTGATGTCACAATGTGACTCGGCCTCAGCGTTTCATGGTAAAGCTATATCGCCTCATCAGTAATCTGGATCTTCAGGATTTAAAGAGGGGATGGAAGCTTTGTTTTTAGAAATATTATTATTGCATCGTTAAAAACTCTATTCTGTGCGCAAAAAATGTGTGAATTAGCAGAGTCGATAAAAAGCTTGTAGAGGTGAATTTTTTTCTATCAAAATTCTTCTGTTAAACACGTTATTTTGAAATTGTGAACACTGCGACCGCACATTCTGTTCATACCTAAGTCAGAAGGGAGTCGTGCAACTGAGATTACAAGGTTCATATAAACTTTTAACACCATGATGAAAGTCGCCTTCTTTGTGGATATCTTCAAACACTCTAACGATATGAAAATGAAGCTTTGAGGACAACAGGAGTCTTGTCAGCAATGAAAACCTTTAGATAATGTTGCAGGTAAAGGTAAAGATGATACAGAAATGGGAGTATTTGTGGAATTAGATGTCAGGCTTACCGACCGATTTAAGTAAAAACTTGAATTCAGGGATATAATTTATGCATTAGGCTACATGGGTGCATTTCCAGTCGGTTCATGAGACCACCATTACGGTTTCAATATTTCAATATTTGAAATGATGTTTCTTGTTTTATTGGTGGTCATTATCAGGAAACTAAATTTCAAGTTTTCTCTGGAAGCGTTCACTAATGTCCTGATCAGCATTACTTCACTGTTCAAATTGGAAACCTAAAGTGTCCATGATTCAAAATATTCTCAATATGAGGAGGCAAATACATTTAAAGACATTCCAGTTTGGGTTTTTGAGTTTGACTAGTTATCTTTAGATTCAGCACATGAATATAAATGATCACACCAAATTTCATTCAAATCAGATAAAAACTGTTGTCTCTATTGTTGCCAATTGTGGACGAACGGACGGACCGGGCGGATGAACAGGGGCGTCGACAATATACGACCACATTATAATGTGGGTGTATTAAAACATAACAGTAACAAGATATTCGAGTTCATGAACATTCAACACCGTCTGTGAAGCTCACAGAATTCCATACTGAAACATCGAACGGTTAGATCAGATTCTTCTGTAATTAAGTTATTCTCATCATCATTAATTTTGTTCACCGACTGTCTTCTCCTGATAGATCCAAAATAATACCATTTACACAATCTTGTATTTCATTCCACCTCTTATCACGGAAGGATTGAAACAGACTACGAAAACCTTCAATAACACACTTTCGCGAAATAATTTGGTATCCACCACTAATAAACCTGGTGTCCGTTCTTAGGGATATCTTCTAAATAGGACTCTGGAATTAAGAATTGCACATTAGTAATCGAAATACTTAAATTCACTTAACCCTTGTGCTAGCACGTCGTTTGAATAACATTGGATAGAATCTGGGGTATTTGGGAACCCCTATTATATAATGGAAATTTTGAACAAAAGAACATGAAACATATTCCCAAGTGTTGCAAATAATGCTTTATAAAGACTCATTGTTGACCAAATCAATTATTCAAGATGATAGTTATATCGATATGCGAAAGTCATCCTGTCTTCAAGCCAAACCTATAATCTAGAATATTACATAAGGTTCGGGTTGTGATCTAGGGATGAGCAGAGTGCATCTGTTTTGATTTAATTATTGACCCATTGGTCAAGATTTCAAAAGTAGCTGGCTTAACTTGATATGGTTATAACATTTATTGATAATTTGAAAATTATGTATAAAAAAACTCAAATTTCACCTACTGGGGTACTTCAGGACCCCCGAGATTCAATAGGTGTTATAGTCAATTTTTAACCAAAATAGCCCCAAAAGTAGTTGAAATATCCCTTACAAAGTGGTCAAAATGGTATCAAATAATTTTTTATTTCATTGAACAACTTTAACAATAAATAATATATTAATGTTTTGACAGTATGTTGTTTGTATTTCGGTGCCGAAATAGGTGTAGAGGGGTTGGATCAGGGACCAATAAGATAGAGGTGTTTTGGTCGTATCACGGCATATCCTGTCGGGAAAAAATATCAAGAGTTGTTGGCATATTATTAGTGCAGCAAGGTAATTTCACCAGTCTCAACTGACCTGTATTTATATTGAACAGGTCTCATCTTGGTAAAATATTATGTACTCTTCATATTGAATATATCCATAAATTTATTTAATAATTTGAATTAATTTGTTGATAACAGATTAACCTTAATCTTTGAAATGATGTACTGTGTCAATGTTTATTATCGATCAAATGTTGTTAAGATTTTTTAATAGTTTCCGTATGGTACAATACAATTCTTACAGGTGTATTGAAAAATTTGACTTGGTTTAAACAGTATTTATTTCAAAACAAATATACACATCATCACTTCAATAAGCTATAAACTACTGTCTTTTTTCTTTCATTAATCATCACATAAGTTACAAACTATTATTATTAGTCTTTGATAATCACTCAGATAAGCTACTAATTATAATTATCAAAGTTAGAATATTCTTAAACTAGGGACATTTTTAATTTTGGGGGCGGGGGGATCATTTCTACCAATGATTTTGGTTGAAATCAAAGATTAAATTAAGGGGCCATTTTGACTATTGTATTTTGGGTCATTTCGACTAATTGTGACTTTTGATGCCATTTTGACATGGGGACATTTCGGTTTAGTGCCAAATTGACTTTAACCTAAGATAACTAGCTTTAGGAGTATATTACAATTTAATTTTATTCACTGAAATCCAGTTTTAGCACTGCGTTTATCTGGGGTCGAAATGTACCCCAACATACTAGCATGGTGTGTTTCAATTTAAAGGGGTAACATATCCGCTAATTGTGATAGTTGCACAGTAGACTGATCATGAACAGGTTAAAAATTCATTCAGCTCGAACACAGTTGGATTGAAAGATAAGTTATCTAAATGTTTGTGGCTGAAAAAGTCAAGAGCTTACCTATTTTACTGAGGTGTTGGCAGATTTATAAAACCCGATAAATACCACACTAAATTCCGCTAAATATATTTTTCTGGCAAACATGAGGCAGTCGCCAGAGATATGTAACCCTTTTTTTTTTTTTTTTTTTTTTTTTTTTTTTTTTTTTTTTTAATTCCGCTTACCCACCCACACTCCGATCCAGTGTTTGGTGGATATTCTAGATTAACATAGATACATAGAAATATCCACCACTCACACATGCCTTTGATTACAAAAATAAAGGTATTAAATTAGTGTGAAAATAATGATAGAAATATGGATACAGCCTGCTATCGATATTATAAAGAAATGGAGTAACTTCCCCAATGCTAATATTCGTACCCACGGTATTTCTCAAAAAATAGCAGAAACTATCCCTTAGTCTACCCAGATGTCCACAATCCACGAACAGATGTCTCAGGCTCTCTCCACCAATCCTGCAATAGTTGCATTTTGCGTCGAAATTGGTGGAGCTACGGGTTCTCAAAAAGAACTTTGTAGGCAGAGCCTGGTGTAGAGTAAGATACATGAAGTCGAGTTGACGGAGGTTTAATTTGGATTCGAATAAATGGCCAAAGATTTCATTAAAGTTAATATGTTGGTTTGATTTTTCTATCTTGCTCTGTATGTTGCTGGTTTTTATAAGTTCAATGTATATTTCTTTTGAAGTGGATTTAGCTGTAATTTTGATGTTTAATTTGCGGTATCGGGACAAAAGGGTTTTATAGGAAGAGTGGACATTTAGGGTAGAGACAGGATAGGTTCTGCTACGGTTTAGATTCTTGAGAGCGGGACCGAGCCAGTAGAATAGGAGGGCAACCCAGGGATAATTAACTCCCCTGGCCGCCCAAGCTATTTGCTGTAGATCAAAACAGTCCAGTTTCAGCATGACGTCAGGGACATTCTGCCCACCTTGATTATATGGCAGTTTTAAGGTTTCTCTGGCAATGGCCTCATATTTGCCATCCCAGAGAAAATTATGTATCACAAAATTTAATTCTTTTAGTATATTTTTATCGGGTTTTGCAAGTCGACCCACATACCAAATCTGAGAGAGGGTGTAAGTGTTGAGAATGTGGACTTTTTCTCGAAAGACTAGGCTGCGATTTTTCCATTTTATTAGCGATTTTTTGATGTTATTCACGATCGGATTCCAATTTAATTTTAGGTTGTTGGGGCCGAAATATATTCCCAAAAGTTTTATTTGAGGTTTGATGTATTTGGTGAGCAGATTTGGTATGTGGGTTGCCATTCGGCCAAGAGTAAGTATTTCGGTTTTTTCGCTCTTAATTTTGGAACCTGTTGCCAATTGAAATTGATTGAGGGCCGAATCAAGGTGGGCAAATGACGTCGGGTCTGTTATAATGACCGTTAGATCGTCAGCATGCTGGACTGTCTTGATCTGTTTTGGGTAGTTCGGTAGTTTAATACCGTGGATATGGAGATTGTTGATAATAGTAAGGGCCAGAGGGTGTATAGCTAGAGAGTAGAGGGCCATGGATAGGGGGCAGCCCTGTTTCACGCCGCGCTCTGGGGTAAAACTATCCGTAAATGCCCCTCTAACCTCACAGTACACCCTCGGGTCCTTATAAAGAATTTCTATCCATCTCAGGATGTTCGGTGGGAACTGCATCTTGACCAGGAGATGCATGAGATAGGATCTGTTGACTCTATCAAATGCCTTCTCCTGGTCATATGCCAGTAAAGCCAGATCAATTCGTTTCTCATCCGCATGTCAATCGAGAGCAGGTTATTGATAATGGATTTGCCTTGACCTGCTCCCGATTGAGTGTCCAACAAAATATGGTTTAACACTTTATTTAGCCTATTAGCGATCACCTTGGCAATGATCTTGTAGTCAACCGTCAGCAGAGATATGGGTCTGTAATTTTTTAAATCAGTTTTTGAACCTTTATTTTTGAAGTTGATGGTTAATATGGACGTCTTCATGCTGTCAGATAGTTCTTGTCTAAAGTAGATATTGTTGATGGTATCATGAAGATCGTCCTGCAGAATGGGCCAAAACTTGGAGTAGAATTCCCTGGGAATCCCATCAATCCCCGGGGATTTGTTGTTTTGGAACCCATTCAATGCTGTAAGGAGTTCTGATTTGGTTATAAAAATATTATTGATTTTTATTTGTTCTGCTGGCGGTAGACTATTGACCTCGGACTGGTCGATGTAGTCCGTTATTACATCCCTGGCGATGAAGTCAGATGTGTATAGGGTTGTATAGAATGATTGTACTTCTTTAAGAATATCTGATTTATTGGTTTGAATTTAGCCGGTGGAGTCTGAAATTTTGTCTATTTGTTTTTTGGCACCATTGTCCAACTCTATTTTTCTGAAAATGTCTAAATTTGCTTAATCGCTAGGTTCAAAGGGAGTTTTTGATCGAATTAACGTCCCTTTGTTCATGGTATTTCGTAACAACTTAATTTCACCGATCAGTCCGCGGTGGATATTGCCAAAGTGATCGTCATTTAGGTCATGGGTATTTTCGATGTCGATCTTTTGGTTCTCTAGCTACAGGAGTTTATCCCTGAGTTTTTTTAGACTATACTGTATTGAGATATCTTTGATGTAGCCCTTTCCCGTTTCCCACCAAACAAGCTGGTCAGGATAATCTGGCTTTTGCAGCTGCCAAAAGCACCAAAATTCTGTAATGAGTGAGATGTACTGGGGCACGTCAAGTAGTGTGGTGGATTGAAATGAGGATCTGAATAAGAGAATAAAAGAATTGATAATTATTTATAACACGTTTCAATCAGCATGGCATTTAACGAATAATGACTACATGCGCATGAGCTGCTGTAAACCAATCAAATTATGCTAGGCAGTTCGTATTGACTGGAATTCTAAGCAGTTCGTATTGTTTAGGTATGTAGTACGACTCATGTAAAGCAATACTGGGCTTATTATACGATATTAAAGAATCACTAATTCTTTAATACAAATGCAAATATAATCAAAAAAAAATAGTTGCACATTTTATGCAATTCCTTACACTCTCCCCCACAAAATTAAATGTTCTCGAACATTTTGCAAGGACACCAAATAAAGTTTGCTCTCAAAAGAAAGTTTGCTCTCAAAATGAAGTTTGCTCGCTGAGGAATCTATAACATATGGATTAATTAGATCTAAATACAAGTTTAACAAAAATGGGTTCTTGACATCAAAAAATTGATCAGGGTGGCCAGCCTTCACATCTGCCAGTCTAGGCTTGAACTCTAATGATCTAATTACATGTACCATATATTCTGTACACCATAATCTAACTTATTACTGGTAACATCTTTTAAGGGCTAAGAACTTTCATCTCATAACTATTCCACCATGAAACAAGTATCTTAACTTCATCTCAACTTCCACCATTAACTTTTATCTTCATTTTGCTTCAGTTCCATCTTTCTATTTCAAACTAACTTCACTTAATAGTCTATAAGAGTCTAGTACAGTAGGTAGGACACTTGGCATGTGGTAACTTATAGGTGGTTGGTTAAATCTTGCACCATGATTCAGATATTCTGGACCATAATTCAGATATCTAGGACCAAAATTTCCAACATAATGAATCATTGGTACTGGCCTCCATTCAGGTATTCCAGTGATTAAACATGGTGATGTTCGCCATTCACTAGTGTTACCATCCATGTCGTATGTAAGTCGAGCGGGTGGTTGGCGATTACGACTTGATCGGCGTATTCCATCATCGCTAACTGAAGTTGTTGGCGATTCTGGTACTACAGGCAGGTCTAAAACTTCCTCAACAGGGTTATCTAGAGTTGTGTCCTCTGGAACCTGTTCTGGTTCTATACCAGTCTCTTTGTGTTTGTGTTCAGCATTGTAATCATCAACATAACCCCTTTGTTCAGCAATAACTTGGGGAATTGGCTCATAATATGCGTCTTCATCGTCACTGCTTTCTGAGTTACTGAAGGAGTTTCTCTGGTCAAGTCGAGGTTTCCCTGGATGAAACACTCTGTCCTTTGTTGGTTGCTTCTCATTTATGTAAAATGGTAATTCATCACATGGCAAAAGTAGATTTCTATGCACCACCTTTTCCTTGCCTGTTTTTGATCTAATTCTGTAAACTGGGCTGTTTTCACCAATGCTTGTAATAACAGAGTAAATTTCATCCTCCCAGTATGACCTTAATTTTCCAGGACCTTCTCGTTCGGACAAGTTACGTAATAGAACTCTCCCACCAGGTTGTAATTCTACTGATGTAGATTTCTTCCGATCATACTGCTTTTTCTGTAGTTGTGATTGGTTCTGAGAATATTTACTTGCAAGTTGATAAGCCTCCTTCATACATTCACTCCATTTTTTGAATATTCCTGTGCATTGTTGAATTCTGGATTGACTTTGTCAAATATCAGGTCCACTGGTAATCTTGGACTTCTACCATACATCAGGAAAAAGGGTGAATATCCTGTCGAGTCGTTTTTCGTACTGTTGTAAGCATGTATTACTTTATTTACATGTTCATGCCATTTGCATTTCTGCTCTTGGGTCAGTGTTCTCAGCATTCCCAGCAATGTTCTATTAAACCTTTCCACTTTGCCATTTCCTTGGGGTGGTAAGGTGTTGTTCTGCAAGGTTGTACTCCACTAAGATTCTGTAGTTGCTTAAACAGTCTATTCTCAAATTCCCCACCTTGATCATGGTGAATTTTCCTTGGAAAACCATATCGAAGGATGAAATCATTAAAGATATTTTCTGCTACTGTTTTTGCTTTCTTATTTCTAGTAGGGTATGCTTGTGCAAATCTTGTGAAGTGATCTACCAGTACCAGTATATATTCGTATCCACCAGAACTTTTCTCAAGATGGAGAAAATCAGTTGATACCAGATCTAATGGGGATGTTGAAGTTACTGGAACCATTGGTGCTCTTGTTTCCTTTTGCAGGAATCTTGTCCTTAAGACAAGTACATGTCTTCATGATGTAATCTGTGATATCTTGTCTCATTTTCGGCCAGTGCTAGAACTCTTTCTGAACCAAGGTGACCCGTGTTGTTGTGCAGTTCTTGCAGAACAAGACTATGGTACTTCTTTGGTAGTATTAGCTGTTCACGTACATCTCCACCAGGCAATATACATTTCCGGATTAAAAGACCATCAGGGTTCAATTTCAACTTATGAAATTCTTTCAACAGCGGACTAAGTTCTATTGTAGCTCGATTTAAGATGGGTTTCTTCTTCATTTCCAGGTAGCGAAGAACTGGTTTAATAACTATGTCTTCCTCCTGTGATTTTCTGATTTCATCTGTTGATAAAGCTGTGTAGACTGTTGAGTTTACCATGCAGTCAATATTTACAGCATCAGAGTTACCATTCAGGGCAGTTATCCAAACTGCATCACCACTATTACTTGCAGCTTCAACTTGCAGTAGTGCTGTCTTGAACTCATTGGTGATCGTTTCTGTACATTGCTCCATATAGTTGTCAATGTTGAGTGGCATTCTTGATAATCCATCGGCAGCTTGATTATTGATTCCTGGTTTGTATTTTATATCAAAATTGAAATCTGCTAATTCGTTCAGCCATCGATGTCTTGTACTATCTAGCTTTGCTGACGTCAAGATGTAATTTAATGGGTTGTTGTCTGTGTAGACTCTAAATTGTTTGGTGTAATACAAGAAGTCTCTAAATTTCTCACTGATTGCCCATTTTAAAGCTAGGAATTCCAGTTTGCCGGAATGAAGATGATACTTCTGCTCTGCACTTGATAAGGTCCTTGAGCCATATGCAACAACTTTAAGTTTTCCCTGGTCATCTTGCTGATACAGGATAGCTCCTAGTCCATCTTGGCTGGCATCTGTGTGCAGGACAAATTCCCTTTCAAAGTCTGGATAGGCCATGACATCAATAGACATCAAATCATCTATGAGGTTGTTCAGTATTTCTTGATGTTTGGTAGTCCATTTTATCTTCGTTCCTGATGAGACTTGACCCTTTTTTAACTGTGCCTTCGGATTATCTTCGGGTTTTTTAAGTAGGTTGTATAAAAGCTTAGTTCTGGATGAGAATGCAGGTAAATATTTACGGTAGTAGCTTACAAAACCAAGCATTCTTCGTAGGTTTCCAACTGTTTTAATCGTTCGATTCTTCAAATCAGCGACAGCAGCTTTATCGGCTGGATCCATCTGGTATCCTTCTTTTGAAACGAGATGACCCAGGTAGCGTATCTGGTTCTTGAATAGCTCACATTTCTCAGGCTTCAGTTTGACCCCCTCTTTCTGTTAGTCGACGTAGTACACTTCGTAAATCTTCTAAATGGCTCTCAAAACTTTCTGAATAGATGAGAACATCATCCAAGTATGGACAGCAGCATCTATCACGTAAACCATCTAACGTTTCCTCCATAAACCTTTGAAACTGTTCTGGAGATCCTGTCAGTCCGAATGGGATACGAATCCACTCGTACAGACCCCATGGTGTAGTGAATGCTGTTAGTTGCCTACAATCTTCCTCAACAAAGCCTTGGTGGTATGCCTTTCCTTGATCGCATAGAGAGAACCAAGATTTTCCAGCAAAACCATTAAGTACATCATTTATCTTTGGTTGGTTGTCGATCAGGGATGGTTTTAGAATTTAAATTCCTATAGTCAATGCAAAGACGAAGGGTGCCATCTTTCTTCCTGACGCAAATCATCGAACTTGCATAAGATGAGCTACTCCTGCGTATAAAATTCTTGTGAAGGAGATCATTCAAATAGATTTTTACTTCTTCATATAATGGTCTTGGTATAGGAATATAAGTTTTCTTAATTTCACCATTATCTTTCAGATTTATCTTAAGCTTCAATCCCTCAGCTTTGCCAATTTCATCACTATTCCTTGAGAAAGCAGCTGATTCTTCATATAGCAACTGGCGAATTTTCTCTTTCTGCTCATTTGGCAAATCTACTGCTGACAGATCAATTGGTGGGTGCCATAATGCTTCATCATTTGGTTTTCTTGACAAATGATTTACTGTTGGACTTGACGTTGGTTCCTTCCTATATTCCACAGGAAATATTGATTGAACAGGTTGCAAAGTTCCAAGGAATGTTTTGCATATTAAGGAAATATTTGTGTTTGTTTTATTTGTAGCAAATAAAAATACTGCTGACTTGGAACCAGGATGTAGCTTGGTTACGGTTCCAGACAGGTGAATACCTTCAGGAATTTCAACTTCTGCAGGCTCAAAGATTCCCAGAGTATCTTCTTTCAAGTCACTTTTTACCATACATTTTATCCTTACTGTGGAATGTTTTGGAATCTTTACGTTTCTTCGTCCGAGTTTTACATCACCAATGTAGTCAGATTTCTCCTGTTTGATGAAGTTTACAATTGCAGTTGCAGTGTCAACGTTTACATCATTCAAGTCTTTTTGTAAAAGTTTTATGCTTGCACTTGTGTCAGGGTTATTGAAATAAAGTTCAACTAGATTGTAACCAATCAAAGGCTTGTCGATCCCTTCAGTGTTGGTTAATAGAAATGGCACTGTAACCTCATTACTTGAAGTTTCATTTGATAGTCTAAATGTCAAGGGCATCCAGCCCATAAAAGGAATACAATCACCATTTGCAGCCTTGACATTAAGTTTATAATGTACTAGTTCAGAAATAGGTCTAATTTCACTGTCTGGCATGAATTTATTTTTTCTCTGCAACAGTTTGGTTAGTAGAATGAGTTATTTCTTCATCAGTAGGATCTCCACTGAGAATTCCCTTCAGATCTTTCGCGATTTCTGGTTCTAGACCAGTTTGGATAGTTCTTAGAGTCATTTTTCTAACCAATTCACAATCATATTTTAAATTAGCACCATCTTCATTTGAAGCAAACTTTACTTTTTGACCAAGATCTAACATTCTCCACACAAAGTCTATAGGTGATTCTTTTACCCCTTGTGCACCCAAAGTTAGTTCATTATATAATTCTGTTGCCGACTTCTCCTTAAAGTGGACTCTTAAAAGTTTCTTCAACATAGGTAGCGTTAGGTCAGGTCGTCCTTCTAAATACCCCCTCAATTGCTGAGACGGGTGTACAGATTTAATCACAGCCCAAATTATCTCTGACTCGGAATACTTTTTACTAACGGCTGCATCAATTTGACGAATTAAATTTCAATAACTGATACCCTCCGAGGCGTTTATGGCACCATATATCTTCAATCCTTATGTATGTAGTGGCTAACTATAAGTCTATGATTTTCTCTGTTTGAAGAAGCTGGTTCATCATTCTCAATTGCTTTGGTAGGAACTTGTTCATCATTTTCAGTTGTTTTGGTATCGACTTCATCCAGTGTGACTTTCGACACCGAGTCACTCAATGTTTCCATTTTGAATCCTTTCACTATTGTCATCAATTCTAAAACTTCTTCCTCTCTCTTTTCTGACTGACAAGTAGCATCTACCAATTTCTCTAAAGTTTGCACCAACTTTTTCCTGTTCACATCCTTATCAGTAAGGGAGAGTTTTAGTTTTTCACAAATTTCCAACAAAGTGTTTTCAGGTAAGGTATAAAATGTAGCTATAATTTCAAAAGCTATTTCTTTTAAGTTCTCTGATGACGACATCTTCTATTTTCATCCAAAAATGGTACAGCTTTGCCTTGGTCTTTGTTGATACAGTTATAACACCTTTGTGTTATTTATAACACGTTTTAATCAGCATGGCATTTAACGAATAATGACTACATGCGCATGAGCTGCTGTAAACCAATCAAATTATGCTAGGCAGTTCGTATTGACTGGAATTCTAAGCAGTTCGTATTGTTTAGGTATGTAGTACGACTCATGTAAAGCAATACTGGGCTTATTATACGATATTAAAGAATCACTAATTCTTTAATACAAATGCAAATATAATCAAAAAAAAATAGTTGCACATTTTATGCAATTCCTTACAGATACACCGCACACTATTAGATGTTTCCAAAATGTAGGTCAATCAAAGTTCTTGGTGTCGTTCTCTAAGGAGGACGACATCAAGAATTTTGAAAACTGGTTTGAATTTGGGACTGGTTCTAATCCTTACAAGAGGGTGAGATATACCATCGAAAGGGCAATTAAACTCCCCCAGTATAACCAACAGCCGGGTATCAGAATCACCATCTTCGGCGTCTCATACGAGATGGACACAAAGTACGTCCTCTCGAAAATAAACCCGTACCATGTGGCTAATAAGATCATCCGCTGTACATATAGAGATCATCCATTTGTGTACAACGGAGTCTGTTTCATCTACACTAAAAAGGTAGATAACCCCATTCCATCTAACCTCACCATTCAAGGATGTAGATTGGGGGTAAAATATGAAGGACAGCCCCAGCCTGATAGGAAGTGCTATGTCTGTCAAGTCGAAGGACATACAGCCAGGGACTGTCCTTCTAGACCACCACCACCCCCTATCTCACCCATTACTGACAAAGAGGGATCGGGCGCCTTTCAAGTCTACAACCCTCATAAGAAAGCGCCAAACCAAATTTTTAAATCTGTGGGCGATCTCCTCAAAACTATCAGGAACACCTCTACGCCCATTCAGTCCAATAAAAACAATCTGGATACACCGGCTACCCCTGGCTGGGTGCCGGACGAAGCCGAGTGGGAAAACGTAGAGGAAAGTGAGTACGATAAAAGTAAAGAGGAGATCGCTCAGCGATCTAGCCTTATTGTCAGCACATCTAAAGCGCCAAAAGACAAACGATCAACTCTCCAGGACACGCCCCTATCCTCCAGATCCAACTCTAAAGATAGGAAAAGGAATAGGGATAGGAGTAGCCTACTCGAAGACTACAAAAAACACAAGGTAGCCACTCACGAAACATCTGAGAGTACAGAATCGAGTATCAGTATAGATCCCTCGAACTCTACTTCTAGAGGGAAGTCTACTCTAAAAAAGAATAAATAGATGTCGTTTACCATTATAAATAATAACAAACAACCAAAAAAAAAAGTAATGATATTAACAACAATTTATATATATTTATAATGATTTTTACAACATTAAATATCTGTAGAGGTTTTCTACATAAATACCACAAAATTTTGAAAGACTACAAAACATCGGATGTGATCAGCCTGCAGGAAACAGGAATTGTCTCGTCAGAGACAATCTGATGATATTGAAAACACTACTCCTTACAGACTGATCACATTCAATGGACCGAAATCTAACACTAGAGGTGTTGTTCTCCTCTATAAGAAACACCTGGAACTTATAAGTACGTACCAAATTCAAGAACGGGTAATTAGTGCTAGATTTCAAATAGAAAAGAAAAACCTCTATGCTGTAAATGTGTATGGAACTCGAGAATCAGGTATAGGTCTCGAGTTCTATACACAAATATACGAATATTTAAAACAGATCTATAATCATAACGACATCTATTTATTAAACGGGGACTTTAATCTATACTACGACACACTGGACAATAAAAGCGGTCTATTCAACCACCAACCTGTAGGCATCAGAAACTTATTTAGTAAAATCAAAGAAGAATTTCTCTTGGTAGATGCCTACAGGCACAAGTACCCGAAGAAAAAAGTTTTTACGTTTCTCCGTGGTACAGAGGGTACTCGAATAGACCGCATCTATGTGTCTCAGTCTGTCGTTAGTCATGTCCGACGTATCTCACATTCCACTGTCTCCTACTCCGACCACAAGTCCGTCCAGATTCAACTCCAGCTAGGATCAGACAGGTGGGGTAGGGGAAAGTGGAAAATGAATATGTCGGTACTACAAGAAGACAACTATATTTTGCAGGTATTGGCGTTTTGGGAATGCTGGCAAACCCAGAAAAAAAGTTTTGCTACCCAATAACATGGTGGGAAGAGGAGAAAAATAAAATTAAAAATCTTACCATCAAATATTCTACAAACGGGTCCATTAATATCAAAGATGAAATCACCAACCTAAATGAAAAAAAGACATATATAGAATATAGCTTTGATATTAATCTAGAATATTATAAAAATGAAATAGACAACATTAATAACAAAATAAAAATACTAGAGTATAAAATCAACAAAGGCATTTTAATCAGATCAAAACTACCCTTTGAAGACAACGATCTGGATAATATATATATATATTTAAGAAGGCTGAGGTAGAGAATGGTACGGGAAAACAACTTGAGAGACTCGTCGATGACAGCGGTATCGTCAGGGAAGGCAGAGAGGAGATCATAGACATCGTAGAGAAATTCTACTCAAAGCTCTACTCTGCCGACCTTATACCACAACCTGTCATCGACGAGTACCTCGATAATTCCATCATTACACCTCTACCACCGGCGGAGGCATCGACCATAGATAATCAGATCATCTCTAAACAAGAAATACATAGAGCCCTTACAGAATGACAAGTCTCGTGGAATTGATGGCATCCCAAAGGAGTTTTATTTGAAATTCTGGGATGTCATCCAGGATGACTTGTCGGAAGTAATAAACAATGTATACTTAAATGAACAACTTTCTGAAACTATGAGAACATCTATTATTTCCATACATTATAAGAATAAGGGCTCAAGAAATGATCTGAAAAACTATCGGCAGATTTCTGACGGTAGATTATAAGATAGTAGCAAAGGTGATAGCCAATAGGCTAAAACCTATTTTGAACTTACTTGTTTATGATACTCAATCGGGAGCAGGCCAAGACAAATCAATCATCAATAACCTGCGCTCGATTGACTACATATATGAGTATGTTATCCAGAAGGACCCGGGGGTGGCCCTGTTGGCCTATGACCAAAAGGAAGATTTTGATAGACTCAACAGGACCTAGCTCAGCACCCTTTCTGGAAAGGGTGGGGCTTCCACCTTGTATAATCAAGTGGATCTCCATTCTTTATAAGGACCTAAGAGTGTACTGCGAAGTGCGTGGAGCCTTCACGAATTGCTTTACCCTTGAAAGAGGTGTGAAACAAGGCTGCCCTCTATCGATGGCTCTATACGCATTCGCGATACACCCTTTGGCCCTTAATATCTCCAACAATCGGTATATCAAGGGTATAGATATTACCGAATTACCACCGACAGGTAAAAACCTTTCAGCATGCAGACGATTTGTCCGTCATCATCACTGATCCCAGGTCCTTCCCAAACCTAGATTACGAGTTGAGTAACTTTGATAAGGCCTCGGGATCAAAAATAAATAAAGCTAAGACAGAAATTTTTACAGCGGGGGCGATGTCTGCCCACAAGACATTAATAATATTAAAATTCTTGGCATTCATTTCGGTCACAATAGCCATGACACTAACTGGAACCCTATTCTAAATAGGATTCGCAACACCCTAAACAAATGGAAAACCGATCATTGAAATACAGAGACAAAATCAAAGTCATACATACATACATTTTATCTCAAGTCTGGTATGTGGGCAGAATAATCAAACCCAACAAACATATTCTTAAAGAGCTGAATCGGGCTATCTACTCTTTCATCTGGGATGGAAAAATCGAGTGGATAGCCCGAAACACCCTTCAACTTCCGCATGACGAGGGAGGGCTTGGAGTTTGTGATATTGATCTCAAGCTCCAATCCTCCGACCTCCAACAAGTAAAATGGTTCATAGGGGGGAGCAGATACCCTTGGAAGTCCCTGCTATATTTATGGATGGGTCTCCTCACCCTTAGAGAGCTCGACACTGACAGAAGCTATGCGGTCACAACGTTTCAGGCACCACCTAAATTTGATACTCTAACCCAAAATTATAGAAAAACCCGTACCGTTATCAACTGGCGCCAGGAGGTAAACTCCAAAACAATTTACCTCCATCTTCACAAACAACTAAACTACACTTTTACTGTACAGAAGCAATACCCACACATCAAGTTCTCCTGTGTGTTCCAGAACCTCTGGAAGTCGAGTTTGAATCAGGGGGAGAAGGAGTTCCTTTTTCTCCTGATTCATTCTTCCCTCACAACTCGACTTCTCCTGTCACAACGGAGCACACAAGAGTTTGATACTAACTACTACCACTACGGCATAGCTTCAGCCCATCCAGATCCATGAATTCACAAGATTCATGGCAGGGATTGACCACTTTCTGTTCCCCCATATGTACCATTATTTCAACTTAATATGGACAAATGCATCAAAACCTGTCGGTGGTATGATCGATACATTATTATATCGATTGTTGGAGATATCACCTTTGCTACTATAAGGCATTTCATATCTCAGTCTACTATATCTGTGATAGCCATTATCATTCCATCTATATTTTTAAAAATTTCATATATTTTTACTTATTTTTATATATTTATACCCTTTCATAAACTTCATCTATATATTTCAAAATTCAATTGTATATATACATCGTCTATACTCTCCATAGAATTATACACATTCATACATAGAGATTATATTTACAAATAGAGTTAATTTATATATAGATATTATTTACAAGGAATTTATTTATACTCCACATTTATATATACACATAATTCATATTTACATTAATATTATATATATTTACAATTTATTTATATTTAATCTATCATGATCAGATAGATTTATGCATTTGTAATAACAAGAATAATAACATGAGCCACACGTGGCACAGAGTGGGACTTTGCAAATGTAGCAAAATGCTAAAGACTCTGAAAAAATCAACCTTCTACGATAATTACATCACGCGCAAGAGCAGTCTAAAGTTGAGAAGAATTGTTTGTAAGATTGTTATAACGGAAGTAGACAGCCCTCACAAATGAAAGTATCAGAAGATAGCCAAGGTCAATGACATTTGACATTGAAAGGGAGACGGTCAACAAAGGTCAAGGTTACGAGAGTCATCCAAATTTTTCATTATATACGGCTATAAAACCGGAAGTTGAGATAGGACAGCAAATATAAAAGTATAAATAGATAGCCAATGTGAATGACCTTTGATCCTACAAAAATCAGGGTCAAAAAAGGTCAAGTTCAAAAATTGAAAATTTTGAATTTTCAAAAGCTGTTCCTTTTTTTGAACTATAAAGCTGAAACAATCGAACTTCTAAGACAACGTGGCTCAACGAATGAAGTAATAGTATGCAAAGTTCCATTTTGAACAAATGTAAACGTTGCGAGTTATGTCCCTTGCCAAAATTGTCAATAATGAGTAATTTAACCCGGATGTGCTACGCCCACCTCAATTTCTTTTGCATAGGTTAATTGATATTCTGAATGTTATGTTGTGTTCCAAATTTAAAGCTTCTACATCATACAGGTCAAAAGATATAGGTCAACAAGAGTCAATAAAGGTCAAAATAGAAAATTGAAAATATAGAAATTTCAAAACCCGTTCCTTTTTTGGAACTATAAAGCTGAAACAATTGACCTATTGACACAAACTGGCCAAAATCATGAGGTAATTGTGTGCAAAGTTCCTTTTTGAACAAATGTATCCTATGCGAGTTATGCTCCTTTCCCAAAATGTAAACAATTAGTAATTCAACCCGGATGTGCCACGCCCACCTCAACTTTTTTGTCATAGGTTAATTCATATTCAAATTGTCTTGTTGTGTTCCAAGTTTCAATGTTCTACATAAAATAGGTCATAAGATATATACACACCAAGCTCANAGAAACAGAAATATTGTAAAAAAAACTCAAATTTGAAAAATTCACGAATTTCAATTTTGCTTTAAAAAACGAT